TAGGGTTTAGGGTTCAGGGAAGCTCACGCAGCCGAGGATGGCGCGGCTGGGGCTGGCCGAAGGTCTGGGCGAAGCCTTGCCCGCATCCTGGGAAGCTGTCGGGGGTCGGTTGGGGGTCTCAGAGCTTAAGCTTCTAACTCTTTCAGGGACAATAGCAGGGACCCCTAGAAGGGACCCCTACCCTCATATAGTCTCAGAAAGCTCCTATATGACCCCAAGGGTCCCTTTAAGGGTCCCTCCTCTAGTCCCTTGAACTCTAGGGTTTTGGGTTTAGGGTTTAAGGTTTAGGGGTTTGGGGTTTTGGGGTCTAAGGGTTTAGTGGTTAAGGTTTAGAGTTTAGGGTATAGCTGAGGGGTTAGGGCCGTTACGGTTTAGAATTGGAATCCCCAGAAGCCCCCTGAAAAAAATCTGTGCCGTAATGAATCAGTAGGACTAGAACAAGTGTTTAAAGAGTCTTGCAAGAGTTTCATGAGATACTACAAGGCTTTATGGGGCTCTATGAGACTTAAACAGCGCTTGATGCAGGTCTTTGTACTTGTTGATGTATAGGGCTGTATACCTGCTACCGGGTCCTGTAGGGGCTTTGTTGGGTTTTGTGCTTAGAATATGGCTTTGGTGTGTTCTTTTTCCTTGTAAGATACGAGTAAGGACCATGGGAATAGCCTTCGAACGATTCAGACCCCTACATTTGTTTTGAATCGAAGATACACGGTTTTCGGTGTGGCATTTAGGACATGATAAGGTTTGGGGTCTAGGGTTTGGGACCTAGGTCATGTCGCCCACACCTCGAAGGTATAGGTGTATTGTTATGAGGATTTAAACCCAGGGTTTTGGTGTTTAAGGTTCGGTGAGTGTGGTTCAGGGTTCGGGGCATAGGGTGTGTAGTGTGCTGCAACAGAGCATGTGGATTGTATGCATCTGGGCTTTATGAGCTGAGCACCATGTTCAGGCTACGTGCAGTTTCGGGTTTGGGAGTCTGCCCCCAAACTAGAACCAATACAGTGAATGGGGTGGCGGGTGGTGTTCGACCCTAAACCCTAAACCCTGAACCCCAAAACCCTAAACCCTAGGCCCTAAACCCTAAACCCGGGCCGAGAAGGCATCTCAGAGCTTTGCACCATTTGGGCACCTGCTTCCTGCTGGTCCGCAGGAAGCTCTCGAGCATACTGAAAGCGTTCTTGCCCAAGAGCTGACCAAGCTGCGCATACTGTAGAGCCAAGGTCCTTCTGGTGACCGTCTTCAAGTTGGGTTTAGCTTGGCCCAAGGTAAGCACCACGCAGTGTACGCGGCGCTCGCACAGGGCCCACTTCTGGGCGGGCTTGAGGCATTCCGCTGATCGAAGCTTCGGGTGAAGAGGCAGTCTGCAGGGCACGCAGCAGCCGCCTAGCCGATTTACTGTCTCAGAGCCTTGGCCTTCAAGCATCGGCGCTTGTCCTTGCCCGGGCGGGGCAGATATGTGTCTTGTCTAGGGTGAACTCCAGGGTGAACTATCATGGTATCCTGCTGCGCACCACTTATCACATGTCAGCATGTAGTCCTGCCCCGGCGACTGGTACTTGCGAGGCTGATCTAAGGAGTTCTTAGTGTCACTAAATCTAGAAGCCCTAGCCCTTTGCATCAGGAGTCCTAAACCAACTCTGGCCCTCAAAACCCGAAGCCCTGAGCCCGAAACCCAGAGCCCTACACCCCAAATTCGAAGGTGATTTAGGGGGCTGAGGGTTAGAGCTTAGGCTTTCTGTTTTTGCGAAATTGGGCGTCGGGCTTAGGGTTTAGGGTTTTCAGGGTTAGGGGCATGGGGGAAGGTTAGGGTTGAACGCCTTAAAATTTAGGGTTTTGGGTTTCAGCTTCCCAAAGAGACTCCCACATGCAAGCACGCCGCGGGCTTCTGCCGAAAAGATGCCACCTCGGCACTGCCACCTAAGTGCTTCGCGGTCTCCGGACCCACAGAAAGAGCCGGCTAGGGCTTTTGGTGGTTCGGGGTTCTGGGCTTTGGGCTATTAGGGTTTAGGGTTTAGGGTTTAGGGTTGAGGGTTCCTAAACCCTAAACCCTAAACCCTAGACCCTAAACCCTAAACCCTTTTAGGGCTTATGTTTTTGAACTGTAGGGTTCCTATCCTGTTAGAGTTGAACCATGGTAACGGGAGGTAGCATGCTCTTTTTCGCCTTGTGCCAGGCTTTAGAGCAGGCGATGCTGATATTCCAACATTCTGTTCTTCTACTTTGGGTTTCGGGTTTTAGGGTGTTGGCTAGACGGTCTTTGGCTTAAGCCCCGGACTGAAAATAGCACATCTTGATATGGGTGAGCCCTAAACCCGAGATCAGCAATCTAACGGCAAGTTGCCGTGTTCCTCTGAACTGCACCGGAATCGAGAGCATGGTCATATTGCGGTCCCCAATAACCAGAATGCGGCATTGGGGTAAGAAACCCTAAACCTCAAAGCCGGAACACGTCAAGCCAGAAACCCCGAAGCCCTAGAGGCCCTAACCCGCAATGTAGCGAGTGTCCTGTAGAAGCAGGGGGGTCCAAAGGCAAGGCTTACATCTCAGAATCGGGGCACAGTACCCTTTGCCTAACATGGAGGGGGACCATAAAATTAAAAGGAGGCTTCAGGGTTTACATATACCCGGGCATGCATCTCTACCTATCTATCTATCTATCTATCTATCTATCTATCTATCTATATATATATATATATATATATATATATATTTCTACAGGTATAGATATAGAGATTTAGATATAGATATAGATATAGATATAGATCTGTATATATATATATATACACACAAAAATGTGTACTACAACAACATCGGGGCGAGAAGGGAATGCTCTTACCTCTGTCCGTCTGACCTCCCCACCCCCACCCCCCCCACCTCACACCCTAAACCCAGGAGCCAGCGTTGCCACGGGTTCAGGGTTTAGGGTTTAGGGGTTTAGGGTTTACGGTTTAGGGTTTAGGGTTTAGGATTTAGGGTTTAGGGTTTAGGGTTTAGTAGGGTGCTCGAACCAGGACCTCAGGCGAAGATTTGCTAAGCGCGAACTCCGAACAGGACCACCGGAGATCCCACATCGCCAGAAAGCTCACTGCACCTTATCAGGGAAGTGTCTGCGACTTCTTACCGCAAGCTCGGGAACATGCCCTTAATGAAGAGACAGGCACTAGCAATCTCCAGTCGACCAGCCGAAACCCCGAGTACAACAAGAGCTGGGATTCATCGCAATTAAATGGTTTAGGGTTTAGGGTTTAACTGCAAGCTGTACCTAAGGTTCCAGAAGAAGTTTACATAGGCCAACCCAACCCTCCACACTTTTCGGTCATTCTTCAATTTCTGAGCTGCACGCTTAAACAGAAAATTTAAACCCGTAACCCAAAACCCAATACCCGCAACCCCTAAACCCATAAACCCTCAACCCTAAACCTCTAAACCCCTAAACCTGTAAACTCCTATACCCCTAAACCTTAGTTTGACCCTAAACCCCAAGACCCTACACCCCTGTACCTCTACATCTTAATTTGGGCTTTAATAAAGCCGAGCCACAACCCGAAAAACCTACACCCCTGTACCTCTAAATCTTAATTTAGGCTTTAAGAAAGCCGCGAAAACCCTAAACCCCTCTACCCCTACATTTAAGAAAGCCGAGCCACAGCCCTAAATCTTAATTTAGGCTTCAATAAAGCCGAGCCACAGCCCGAGATTGTGAAGCAGTCGCAGGGAGGGGTCCCATCCTCGTGCCTTTCGAAGCTCCCGGTCCCACGCCTTCCAGCGAGTTTGCCGGTGTCCGGGGTTCTAAGGTTTTTTTGTATTTTTTTTTGGAGGAGGGGGGGGTTAGGATTTAGGGGTTTAGGGGTTTAGGGTTTATGTAGGGGTTTAGGGATTTAGGGATTTAGGGATTCAGGGGTTTAGGGGTTTAGGGGTTTAGGGGTTTAGGGCTTAGGATGTCTTCCAGCGCAGCGGCTGGTTATGCATGCTGAGATGGCACGAGCCATCTTCCTTGTGAGTGTGTGTCATAAACTCCGTGAAGCCGGAAGTGCAGGGCAGGGCAGGGCAGATTCTGTATGTATACCCACCCTATACCCTAAACCCTAAACCCCCAAACCCTATACCCTACACCATCTCTACTTGTGCAAGGGATTGGGGATCTTCCACCTTTCAGTGCCTTCCGAAGCCAAGAGAACCGCCGACAACAACAATGCAATCGTGAGAATGAGGCGAACAGCAACAATAATGATGTTGACAGCCGAATAGTGACACATTAAGAGTGGTCAGAGGTATAGATATCCTCTTCTTATCACCCCGCTCATTAAATTTTATCTGATCCTTGCAGTCGGGCTTAGGCCCTAAAGCCTACACCCTGCACCCTAAGGCGGCCTGCGACAGCAAGAGCCAAAACTCTCATCGTCGTGAGCGACATCGCGCCCTGTCGGGTCTTCTGGGGTTGGCATCGTTTGACATCTTTGGGCTTAGGGTTTAGGGACGCGGAAATGAAGGTAGTACATGTTTCCCTCAACCCTAAACCCGTGGTTCCGGCGCAGGGTCGAGGATTCAATGCGTTATTAGGGCTTTGGGGGTCTGGGGCTTGGGGTTGAGGGCTTCGGGCTTCGATGTGAGGATTTTGTGCGCAATGCAGCACTCACACGCGACGCCGAGGGCTTTGCAGAGATCTACTATAGGGTCTTGGTGTTGAGAGTGTCTGGCTTCGGGGAAACGCCTAAACTCTAAACCCTAAACCCTTAAACGTATCACATGATGATATCGCAGTGCTTGTACGGGGCTTTGCGGCTTGCGGCTACAGCTTTCAGCCTTCGGGACTTGCGGCGAAAAACTAAACCTCAATGCTCGGGAAAGCTTTTGGGGCTTTGGTTTGAACTACCTCAAAAGCTAGACCCTAAGCTTCAGGGTCTAGGTTTAAGATACCCTGAACCCTAGATCGCAAAGTTTAGGGGGGGTGGCGGAAAGTAACCTGAAGCCGAAACCAAGTAGTTAGGGTTAGCTCTCGTTTGTGAAGTGGTAAGGAAATCTTGCAGAGACCTAGCCTACCAACACCTACGGCCCACAACCTCGCAACCCAGCCACAAAAAACACAAAGCAGAACACGAATCGCAAGGCCAAAAACATCCCTAAGCCTCTGAACCCTAGACACTACATCCCTAAACTCTCAACCCTAAACCCTAAACCCCTGGGCTACCTAAACCCCGAAACTCTAAACCCCTAAACCCAACAGTGAGGTGCGCACTGGGGTTGTGGGTGCCGGGCGTGGGAGTACAGGGGTTCTGGGTGGTTTGGTGTTGTTTTTTCGTCGGGGTTTAGGGTTTAGGGTTTAAGGTTTAGGGTTTCGGGTTTAGGGTTTAGGATTTAGGGTTTAGGGTTGAAGGTTTAGGGTTTAGGATTTCGTGTTTAGGTTTTAGGGTTTAGGGTTTGGGGCATGGGGCTTCTGGGTTACTTCGGACTCAGGGATCAGGATTTTCCGGCAGATGGTTTCGAAGAGTTTAGGGTTTAGGGTTGAGTCATTATGGTCCTGACTTAAAGTTGGGGTTTGTGGCCGTTCTGACGGGAGTAGGAGTCTCTCGGACGTCGTGCTGCCGGGCTGCGCGGGTTGGATGTAGGTTCTTCGGGTTTTAGGGTTTGGGGTTTGGGGTTTAGTGTTTGGGGTTTAGGGTTTAGGGTTTAGGGTTACGCGTTCTGCTTGGCTTCTGGCCCTCTTGCTCCACATTTCAGGGTCGAAAATCGGATGCTGAGCATCGTCAGCCTGTTTCATTCCTGCACTGTCCTCGAAGAACACTTCGACGCGCAAGCCACGGATCTCCCTCCGTCCTTTGTGATGCAGAAAAGCAAGCCGACTCAGGACGCCGAAACATCGTCGGCAGACAGTTCTCGCCTCTTTTGGAGGCCTTTGCCCACCACCAACTTTCCACTGCAACCGTTGTCTGCATCGGAACCTCGCAGCAGACTGCTTGCGCCACATTACGCCCATACCATGGGCCTTCCAGCATCGGTTTGGTTCAGGAGGCGCTTGTAGTGCGTCTGGAGTGTCTTTGTCATCGCCGTGCGCTTGCCGGCGTGCATTCTTTCAGGCTTTAAGGCAAGAAATGCTCCCATTTCCCCATAGACCAGGCGCCACTCCTCCTGCCTCTGGGGCCGGGGGAGACCGTTGGAGTTCATGAACTCCAGGGCAGAGCCCTTCGCGGCCCGAAACGCCTCATTGCGCCTCACGAGGCCGACACTTTCTTGAACACAAGCGCAAACGGCGTTGCGCATAGAGCCCTAAACCCCAAAACTTGGAACCCAAAACCCCCATACCGTCACACACCCTAGACCCTGAACCCCGAACCCGGAAGCCTAAACCCTAAATCGTGTGAAACCCTGATGCTCTGCAACCAAGCAGAACGCCCAAGAAGCCTTCAACATCCCAAAAACCCACAAACCCCACAACTCTCACCGGAGACCCGAAAGATTGCGATTTAGGGTTTAGGGTTTAGGGTTCCGGTCCCCGCATGCCGAAACCCCTTAGATGTTCATCGACAGCCCACATTTCCATGCCCAACCCTGAACCCTTAACCTAAAACCCCAAACCCTAAACCCGCAACCTCTAGCCCTAAACCCTCAACCGAAAGACCTAAACTATCAACCTTAAGCCCTGAACTCTAAACTTTCCTGCAAGCCTCCGAACATCGATCTTATGGACCACGTTGGAGAAGGCGTGCAAGTGGATGCCTGTCTTCAGGACTTTTAGGGGCTTTGGGGCTTTGCTGTTTTGGGTTTTGCGCTTTGGGCATGTGTCGGGCTCAGGTGAGGGTTAGCGTTTTGCTTCGAGTCCGGGCTGCGGACTCAAAGATATATATATATATATATATATTTATTTATTTATATTTATTTATTTATTTATTTATTTATATATTTATATTTATTTATATATTTATATTTATTTATATTTATGTTTATATTTATATTTATATTTATATTTATATTTATTCATTTATTTATATATTTATATTTATATTTATTTGTATACTTCTATTTGTATTTATATAATAATATGTATAGTTAGTTATATTATTATTATTGCTGTTCATGCTTCTTTGGTCTTCCAGAGTCTAACTGAGCAGAAGACGGTTGGTTTAAGAGAAGGCGGGGCCAACGATATAGAGCACAAGGACCCCTAAACAAGGTACTCCCTTATGTTCTAAGACCCTCTGATGAGGATCGACGATCAATAAAAAGTGATATAGGGGTCGTCATGACTAACAAGAATGTTCCCTTTTGCCCATGTATATACATATATAATATAACTAACTATACATGTTTATTTGTTAGCTTGCTTGTTTACCTGTTAGTTTATATACTGCAAACTACATGCGTACATTCGTACTCATGCTTAAATGTATATGTGTAAATACATGTTTTACTTGCACTTATTTATGCAGATACTTAAAGCATAATGCACCGCAAAACGCTGCTGGCAATTCTACTTGAGGCCGCTACATGACGGGCTGATCCTAACCCGGCAAAACCTCCGGGTCTGAACTCAAAGGCCCAGTGCAGGGTTTAGGGTTTAGGGTGTAGGGGTTTCAGGGTTTAGGGTTTAGGGTTTAGGGTTTGGGTTCAGCTACACATGATGCCGCACAGCCCTAGTCCTATCATACTTGTGCCTAAACAGCTCCGTGGATGCCGGATAAACCACATGCAGCTGGTAGCTATGTGCGTTGCTGAACCACAGAAGCACCACACTCAGCATACACACGTACGAAAGGCAGCTGGCGACCTCGTACCCAAGTTCGAAGCTCTCCACAAGTATCCGAGGCTTTCGGGAGGCGGACCTTGGGTAAGGAATTTTTCGGATTTAGCTTCAGCTATTGAGGAGTGCAGGGTTTGTGGCCCAAGATGTAGGGTTTAGTTTAGGGTTTGTCTATGCAGGTGTAGGGTTTAGTGTTCAGGGCTCAGCACTGGCGCTTAAGGACTCTGCATTTTGGGTTTAACTTTGGTGTTGGGAGTTTTGAGAGTTTGCTTCGGAAAAGCTATCCGGTTCAGAATCTTTGTTGTAACCAGCAGCTTTAATGCTATGATTATTCCGATTGTTCTAATGGTGGTGATGAAGATGACGCACATGAAGAGGAACATAATGACCATAATACCGGTTATCGTCGTAATAGCCATGATAATGGTAATGATGATGGCGATGATGACTACCTGACCTTTGAGTGCTTTGTCCCAACCAGGGAGGTTATGAATATTGCAATCGCCGCGACTCCGACCACTGCCACTGCCTCTACTTCTATCATGCAATGACGACGACATGAGCAAGACGATTTCCATGTAAGGCACTGCTGGAAACCGACCGATATCAGGACGGCGCCACCAAGTAGGTAGGGCATTGAGGTTTACTCAGTTGTTCCAAAGTTGCCCTCCCTCAAATTGGTGCAGGAAGCCTTTGGGCCGTCCATATATAAATGTGACCCGGAACACATTTTACAAAAACATATAACCCGAAACCCTGCAACTAGGGGTCAGAACCAGGGTTGCGGAGCATCGTTACCGATCCGACCTAAGCCCTAAGCAAGACAGAAGGATAGTCTTATCGAGTTGTTTGAACTGCCAAACACCTCCTGTCGAAATTGGGGCTTTAAGTTTGCGGCTTTGAGTTTAGGATGCAGGGCTTTAGGGGTTTCAGGTTTATGATTCCGGGTTTCTGTATTGTGGTTTTGAGGATTAGGGACTGATGGTTCTGAGGTTCTACTATGAGCAGACCCCATCAAGGCACTACCCGCGCGATGATCTGCTGAGGCTTGCCTTTGACTAGTTGCGGGCACAGCCCAACCACAGACAACCACATCGCGGAGATCGAGGAGCCACCAGGAAGAGCCGAGTTTCTCAGGGGCCAACACAAAACGCCTCTCTTGCAGAGGGAGGTGGAGCAATCAGGCACGTTGATGGCCTTATCTGCACGCGCAACCCTAAACCCGAAACCCTGAACCATCTTGCGCTGCGCCATGCAGACAGAGCTCCTTGGCAGACCAAACTCGCCCGGTCACAAAACTGCTACCGACAGATGGAAAGTGGGTTTAGGGCTTATAGGGCACATCTCGGAGGCGACGCGACGCCGCTGAAGGAGGAATTCTGGCAATGTGCCGTTTGATTTTTGCCTCATTTCGACGGCTCCGACGGCCACAGGAATAGCTGCTGAAAAAAAACATTTACTTGCAAATTCGAGGATTTTCGTGGTTTTGCAGCGCCTCCCCCAATTTCCGGCGGACAGAAACCCGGCTTGTGGCAAGCTCGACGACTTTCGTGGAAGACTGACACAAGCACTGACACATCCCCGGAAACCTAACAACTTCCGTGCATAAGCGCGAAACCCTAAACCCTAAACCCTAAACCCCTAAACCCCTAAACCCCTAAACCCCTAAACCTTAAACCCCGAAA